AATTTTGGGAAGAAAATGGAAAGAAATGAGGAAAAATTGGGAATTTGGGGGGGAAATTTGGGAATTTTGGAAAGAAATTTGGGAATATTGGGAAATTGGAAGGAAATGAGGAAAAAATGGGGAATTTTGGGGGGAAATTTGGGAATTTTGGGGGAAAAATTGGGAATTTTGAGGAAAAATTGGAACTTTTGGGGGGAAATTGGGAATTTTGGGGGGAAAATGAGAAAAAAATGGGAATTTTGGGGGGAAAATTTGGGAATTTTGGGGGGAAATTGAAAGAAAATGAGGAAAAAGTGGGAATTTGGGGGTTTTTTTTAGGAATTCTGGGGCTTTTTGTGGATTTTTTGGGAATTTTCTTGGAATTTTGTGGATTTTTTGGGAATTCTCTGGGATTTTATGGAGTTTTTTGGGATTCCTGTGGGATTTTTTTAGGAATTCTGGGGCTTTTTGTGGATTTTTTGGGAATTCTCTGGGATTTTATGGAGTTTTTTGGGATTCCTGTGGGATTTTTTTAGGAATTCTGTGGGAATTCCTCGCGTTCCTTGTCGTAATTCCATGAATTTTTCCGGGAATTCCGTCCCCATCCCATCCCCTCCCATTTTCCCGTCCCAAACTTCCCGCAATTCCCTCCCATTCCCAAAAAAAAAAAACCACTCGGAGCCGTTGGGAGCAGCAGGATCCCGATTTTTCCACGGGAATTTCGGGAAAATCCGGACCCCGCACGCGACGATCGCGGAATTCCCGGGAATTCCCATCCCCCCCCCCCCATTTCTCCCGGATTTTTCGGGAATTCCGGGGGGATTTTTTGGGGGAAAATTGGGATTTGGGGAATTCCGTGGGGAAAAAACGGGAATTTTGGGGGAGTTCTGGGAGGATTTTTAGGAATTCCGAGGGATTTTGGGGGGAATTTTTTGGGATTTCGGGAAAAATTGTCGGGAATTTTTTGGGATTTTCAAGAATTTCTTTGGGATTTCAGGGAATTTTGGGATTTTAGGGAATTTTTTGGGGGATTTCAGGGAAATTTTGGGGATTTTAGGGAATTCTTTGGGATTTTGGGGGGACTTTAGGGAATTTTTTGGGGATTTTAGGGAATTTTTTTGGGATTTTAGGGAATTCTTTGGGATTGGGGGGATTTTAGGGAATTTTTTTGGGATTTTAGGGAATTCTTTGGGATTTTTTTGGGATTTTAGGGAATTTTTTTGGGATTTTAGGGAATTCTTTGGGATTTCAGGAAATTTTTTGGGATTTTAGGGAATTTTTTTGGGGATTTCAGGGAATTTTTTGGGGGATTTTAGGGAATTCTTTGGGATTTCAGGAAATTTTCTGGGATTTCAGGGAATTTTTTGGGGGATTTTAAGGAATTCCTTGGGATTTCAGGAAATTTTTTGGGATTTTAGGGAATTTTTGGGATTTCAGGGAATTTTTTTGGGGATTTTAAGGAATTCTTTAGGATTTCAGGAAATTTTTTGGGATTTTAGGGAATTTTTGGGATTTCAGGGAATTTTTGGGGGGATTTTAAGGAATTCTTGGGATTTCAGGAAATTTTTTGGGATTTTAAGGAATTCTCAGGGAACTTTTTTGGGGATTTTAAGGAATTTTTGGGATTTCAGGGAATTTTCAGGGATTTTAAGGAATTTTTTGGGAATTCTACGGGATTTTAAGGAATTCTGGCCAATTTTTTTGGGGACAACTCTGGGAAAAACGGGAATTCCGGGGAATCCATGGAATTCTTCCCCTCCCTCCTTTCCCCACCCGAAATTCCAGAGGCAGAAAAATCCCGAATCCGTGAAAAACCCACGGAAAAAAACCCCAAAATCCCACCCAAACCCATCCCCCAACCCCTTTTCCAGAACATTCCCAATTTTTTAGGGAATTCCGGGAGTTTTCCCCCGGGAATTTTTCTCTGGGATTCGTGGAATTTTGCCGCTGCAATTCCAGGATTTTTTTTCCCATGGGAATTCCAAGGATTTTTCTGTTGGAATTCCAGGAATTTCCCACACAAATCCTGGGCTTTTCTCACATGAATTCCAAGATTTTTTCCATGGGAATTCCAGGAATTTCTCACATGAATTCCAAGATTTTTTCCACATGAATTCCTTGATTTTTTCGATGGAAATTCCAGCAATTTTTCCATGGGAATTCCAGGAATTTTTCCTGCTGAAATTCCACAAATTTTCCCACCTAAATTCCAGGAATTTTTCCTTTTTAACTCCTCCATTTTCCCTCCCATCCCCCACACTCCTTCCCCTTATTTTTCCCGCCAGAATTCCCGGCTTTTCCCGCCAGAATTCCCGGTTTTTTCCCCGCCAGAATTCCTGGTTTTCCCCGCCAGAATTCCTGGTTTTCCCCGCCAGAATTCCCATTTTTTCCCGCCAGAATTCCCGATTTTTCCCGCCAGAATTCCCGTTTTTTCCCGCCAGAATTCCTGATTTTTCCCGCCAGAATTCCTGGTTTTTCCCGCCAGAATTCCCGACTTTTCCCGCCAGAATTCCCGTTTTTCCCGCCAGAATTCCCGATTTTCCCGCCAGAATTCCCAGTTTTTCCCGCCAGAATTCCCGTTTTCCCGCCAGAATTCCCGGTTTTCCCGCCAGAATTCCCGTTTTTCCCGGGAAACCCATCACTTGTAGAGCAGGTGCACGCGGCTCCCGTCGCAATTGCCGCGTCCCAACTTCTCCGCCTGTTCCGACACCAGGCACCGAACCAGGCTGGGCTGGGGGAAGGAATCCCGGGAATCGCGTTGGGAATCCCGGGAATCGCGTTGGGAATCCCGGGAATCGCGGGAATCGCGTTGGGAATCGCGGGAATCGCGTTGGGAATCGCGGGAATCGCGTTGGGAATCGCGGGAGTGGCGGCGGCGGGAGCGGAGCTGCAGTTGTTGGCGGGCCTGGAGCTGCTGGCGGAGCTCGGAGACGCGCTCTTCCTTCTGGGAAAACGGGGGAAAAGATGGGAAAAGTGGGAAAATTGCGGGGGAAATGGGGGGAAAAATGGGAGAGAAAATTGGGAAAAATTGGGGAAAATTGGGGGAAAAAATGGGAGGGAAAAATTGGGAAAAATGGGAGGCGAAATGGGGAAAAATTGGGAAAAATGGGAGGGGAAATGAGGGAAAAATGGGAGGGAAAATTGGGGAAAAATGGGAAAAATGGGAGGGGAAATGAGGGAAAAATGGGAGGGAAAATGAGGGGAAAATTGGGAAAAACAGGAGGGAAAATGAGGGAAAAATGGGAAAAACGGGAGGGAAAAATTGGGAAAAATGGGAGGGAAAATGAGGGAAAAGTGGGAGAGAAAATTGGGGGAAAAAATGGGAAAAATGGGAGGGGAAAAATTGGGAGAAATGGGAGGGAAAATGGGGAAAAATGGGAGAAAAAATTGGGGGAAAAAATGGGAAAAATGGGAGGGGAAAAATTGGGAGAAATGGGAGGGAAAATGGGGAAAAATGGGAGAAAAAATTGGGGGAAAAAATGGGAAAAATGGGAGGGGAAATGAGGGAAAAATTGGGAAAAATGGGAGGGAAAAATTGGGAAAAATGGGAGGGAAAATGGGGGGAAAATGGGAAAAATGGGAGGGGAAATGAGGGAAAAATGGGAGAGAAAATTGGGGAAAAATGGGGGAAAAAATGGGAAAAATGGGAGGGAAAATGAGGGAAAAATTGGAAAAAAGGGAGGGAAAAATTGGGAAAAATGGGAGGGGAAATGGGGAAAATTGGGGGAAAAAATGGGAAAAATGGGAGGGGAAATGAGGGAAAAATGGGAGGGGAAATGAGGGAAAAATTGGGAAAAACGGGAGGGAAAATGAGGGAAAAATTGGGAAAAATGGGAGGGAAAATGGGGAAAAATGGGAGAAAAAATTGGGGAAAAAATTGGGAAAAATTGGGAAAAAAATTGGGAAAAATTGGGGGAAAATTGGGGGAAAATTGGGAAAAATAATGGGGAAAAAATGGGGAAAATGGGAGGGAAAAGTGGGAAAATGAGGGGGGAAAAATGTGGGAAAAGTGGGGAAAACACCGGGAAAATCACGGAAAAAAGCAGAACAAAACACCCAGAAAAGTGGGAATAACAGAGAAAAGTGGGAATAACAGAGAAAAGTGGGAATAACAGAGAAAAGTGGGAATAACACAGGGAAAAGTGGGAATAATACAGAGAAAAGTGGGAATAACACAGAGAAAAGTGGGAATAACACAATAAAAAGTGGGAATAACACAGAGAAAAGAGGGAATAACACAATAAAAAGTGGGAATAACACAATAAAAAGTGGGAAAACCGCGGAAAAAAGCGGGAAAATCACAAAAAACCTGGGAATGACACAATAAAAAGCGGGAATAACACAGGAAAAAGCGGGAATAACACAAAAAACCTCAGGAATAACACAGAAAAAAGCAAGAAAAACACAGAAAAAATGGGAAAACAACAGGAAAAAATGGGAAAACCACAGAAAAAAGCGGGAATAACACAGAAAAAAGCGGGAATAACAGAAAAAGTGGGAAAATAACAGGAAAAAGCGGGAAAAACACAGAAAAAAGCGGGAATAACACAGAAAAAACGGGAAAATCACAAAAAACCTGGGAATAACACAATAAAAACCGGGAATAACACAGAAAAAAGCGGGAATAACACAGGAAAAAGCGGGAATAACACAGAAAAAAGCGGGAATAACAGAAAAAGTGGGAATAACAGAAAAAAGTGGGAATAACACAGAAAAAAATGGAATAACACAGAAAAAAGTGGGAATAACACAATAAAAACCGGGAATAACACAGAAAAAAGCAGGAAAAACACAGAAAAAATGGGAAAACAACAGGAAAAAGCGGGAAAAACACAGAAAAAAGTGGGAAAACAACAGGAAAAAATGGGAATAACACAGGAAAAAGTGGGAATAACACAGAAAAAATGGAAAATAACAGAAAAAATGGGAATAACACAGAAAAAAGCGGGAATAACAGAAAAAGTGGGAAAATAACAGGAAAAAATGGGAAAACAACAGAAAAAAGCGGGAATGACAGAAAAAAGCGGGAATAACACAGAAAAAAGCAGGAATAACACAGAAAAAAGCGGGAATAATGCAGAAAAAATGGGAAAACCACAGAAAAAAGCGGGAATAACACAGAAAAAAGCGGGAATAACAGAAAAAATGGGAAAACAACAGGAAAAAACGGGAATAACACAGAAAAAAGCCGGAAAACCACAGAAAAAAGCGGGAAAACCACAGAAAAAAGCAGGAAAACCACAGAAAAAAACGGGAATAACACAATCAAAAGCAGGAAAAACACAGAAAAAAGCGGGAAAAGCTCCCGGAATCATTCCCGTTCCCCACCTCGGCGATGATCTTCTCCAATTCCCGGTTTTCCTTCTCCAGCAGCCGGGATTTCTCCTCCTCGTTGTTGTTGGTGGAGGATCCGGTTTTCATCGTGTCCTGCTGCTCCGACTGCCACTCCCCGCGCGTGATCAGCCGCCGCATCTGCGCCATTCCCGAAATTCCAGCTCCTTCCCGCTCCTCCCAAGCTTTTCCCACTTTTCCCTGATTTTTTCCCGATTTTTCCCGATTTTTTCCTAATTTTTTTCTGATTTTTTCCGATTTTTTCCTAATTTTTTTCTGATTTTTTCCGATTTTTTTCTGATTTTTTTTCCGATTTTTTTCCGATTTTTTTCCTAATTTTCTTATCTGATTTTTCCCTGTTTTTTTTTTAAATTTTTTTTCCTAATTTTTCCCGATGTTTTATGATTCTTTTTCCTGATTTTTATCTGATTTTTCCCTGATTTTTCCCTGATTTTTCCCAAATTTTTTCTGATTTTTTACGATTTTTTTCTGGTTTTTTTCCTAATTTTCTTATCTGATTTTTCCCTGATTTTTTTCTGATTTTTCCCAAATTTTTTCTGATTTTTCACGATTTTTTTCTGGTTTTTTTCCTGTTTTTTTCGGATTTTTTCCTAATTTTTATCTGATTTTTCCTGATTTTTTCTTTATTTTTTACTCATTTTCCCCAATTTTTTATGATTCTTTTTCCTGATGTTTATCTGATTTTTTCTCTATTTTTTTCAGATTGTTTCCTAATTTTTATCTGATTTTTCCTGGTTTTTTTCCTAATTTTTTCCTAATTTTTCCCGATGTTTTATGATTCTTTTTCCTGGTTTTTATCTGATTTTTCCCTGATTTTTTCCCCAATTTTTTTCTGATTTTTTTCTGATTTTTCCTGATTTTTTCCTAATTTTTTCTGGTATTTTATGATTTTTTTTCCCGTTTTTTTCCCGTTTTTTTTTTTTATTTTTTCCTAATTTTTATCTGATTTTTCCCTGATTTTTTTCTTTATTTTTTTACTCATTTTCCCCGATTTTTTATGATTCTTTTTCCTGATTTTTCCATGACTTTTTCCTGATTTTTTCCCCATTTATTTTCTGATTCTTTAAGATTTTTTTCAGATTTTGTCCTAATTTTTATCTGATTTTTCCTGTTTTTTTTCCTAATTTTTTCCTAATTTTTCCCGATGTTTTATGATTGTTTTTCCTGGTTTTTTCAGATTTTTTCCTAACCTTTATCTGATTTTTCCTTGACTTTTTCCTGATTTTTCCCAATTTTTTTCTGATTTTTTTTGCCCCCAAAAAATCCTCAAAAAATCCCCCAAAAAATCCCATTAAAAATCCCAAAAAATCTCCAAAAAATCCTCAAAAAATCCCATTAAAAATCCCAAAAAATCCCATTAAAAATCCAAAAAAAATCCCCAAAAAACACCAAAAAAATCCCCAAAAAATCCCATTAAAAATCCCAAAAAAATCCCCAAAAAAATCTCCAAAAAATCCTCAAAAAATCCCCCCAAAAAATCCCATTAAAAATCCCAAAAAATCTCCAAAAAATCCCCCCAAAATCCCCCAAAAAATCCCAAAAAATCCCATTAAAAATCCCAAAAAATCTCAAAAAAATCCCCCCAAAATCCCCCCAAAAAATCCCATTAAAAATCCCAAAAAATCTCCAAAAAATCCTCAAAAAATCCCCCCAAAAATCAAAAAAAATCCCATTAAAAATCCCAAAAAATCCCCAAAACCCCCCCAAAAAATCCCAAAAAAATCCCATTAAAAATCCCAAAAAAATCCCAAAAAAATCCTCAAAAAATTCCCCAAAAAATCCAAAAAAATCCCATTAAAAATCAAAAAAAAATCCCCAAAAAATCCCCAAAACCCGCCAAAAAAATCCCAAAAAATCCCATTAAAAATCCCAAAAAATCTCAAAAAAAATCCCCAAAACCCCCCCAAAAAATCCCAAAAAAATCCTCCCAAAAAATCCCATAAAATCCCATTAAAAATCCCCAAAAAATCCCCAAAAAATCCCCAAAACCCCCCAAAAAATCCTCAAAAAATAAGAAAAAAATCCCCCAAAACCCCTCAAAAATCCCCAAAAAATCTCCAAAAAAAAACCCCCTAAAAACCCTTCCAAATTCCCTGGAAAATCCCATTTTTCCCTGGAATTCCAGGCTCACCTTGGGCACGAAGAGCACCACGAGGGTGATGTAGGACGAGAAGACGACGGCGAGGGAAGCGAAGGCGAAGGCGGCGTCCTGCTGCGAGCTGAGGATCAGCGTCACCGGCGCCGTGATCAGGCACAACACCTGCAAAATCCGGAATGTTCCGGATCTTTCGGAGCTGGGGGGAGGTTCGGGAATTTTTGGGGAATTTTTGGGGATTTTTTTGGGAATTTTTGGGGATTTTTTAGGATTTTTTTGGGTTTTTTTTTAAGATTTTTTTATGATTTTTTAAAAGTTTTTAAGGGATTTTTTGGGGGATTTTTCGGGATTTTTTTTTTATTTTTTTGGGAATTTTTTTGGACTTTTTTGGGATTTTTTTAGGATTTCTTTGGGATTTTTTAAAGATTTTTTATGATTTTTTAAAAAATTTTTTAAGGGATTTTTTGGGGAATTTTTTGGGATTTTTTAGGGAATTTTTTAAAGATTTTTTGGGGGAATTTTGGGGGATTTTAAAAAAATTTTTGGGGGACTATTTTTAGGATTTTTAGGGATTTCTTTATAATTTTGTGGGAATTTTTGGGGATTTTTTAGGATTTTTTTTTAATTTTTTTGGGATTTTTTAGGATTTTTTTTTAATTATTGGGGGATTTTTTTGGGAAATTTTTTTATATTTTTTTTAGGATTTTTAGGAGATTTTTTGGGGAATTTTTTTTAGGATTTTTTAGGATTTCTTTTTAATTTTGGGGGGAATTTTTTTAGGATTTTTTAGGATTTCTTTTTAATTTTGGGGGAAATTTTTTGGGGAATTTTTTGGGATTTTTTAGGATTTTTTTTGAAGTTTTTTGGGGAATGTTCTAGGATTTTTTAAAAATTTTTGGAAGATATTTTGGAAATTTTGGGGGAGTTTTTTAGGACTTTTTATGATTTTTTTAAAATTTTTTTTTATTTTGGGGGGAATTTTTTGGGATTTTTTTAGGGAATTTTTTGGGATTTTTAAAGGAATTTTTTTGGATTTTTTAGGGAATTCTTGGGGGACTTTTTTAGAATTTTTTATGATTTTTTTAATTTTTGGGGGGATTTTTTAGGGAATTTTTGGGGGGAGGTTTTGACCATTTTTTGGGGAATCTTTGGGATATTTTTGGGATCTTTTGTGGGATTTTTTTAGGAATTTTTGAGAATTCCCTTTATTATTCCTTAAGAAATTTTTCTGTCATTTTTGGACATTTTTTCCCCAAATTTTTTACAATTTTTTTAAATTTTTGGGGCAATTTTTCTCATTTCTTTTCATTTTTTCCCCATTTTTTTTTTAAACATTTGGCGATTTTTGGTCCCAATTTTTTGGTGGAATTTTTAAACAATTCTTTCAACGTTTTTTAGGAATTTTTTTTCCCAATTTTTTGCGGGAATTTTCCCCTGGAATTCCGGGATTTACCGCCACGTTGTAGATCGCCATTCCCACCGCCCGGTGGTCGTTGATTTTCTCAGTGGAAACGCTTTTGGTCTCGTAGGCCAAAAAAATTCCCAACAACAGCAACAACCCCTTGAATCCATAAAAAATCCCTGGGAAAAAAAAAATTCGGGAAAGAGGAAAAAAAATCAGGAAAGCGGAAAAAAAATCGGGATCCCGAAAATTTTTTGGGGTGGAGGCAGAAAATTCCCAAAGGAAACGTCCTGGATTTGATCTGGATTCCACAAATTCCGCCTGAAATTCCCAAATTCCAGCTGGATTCCAGAAATTCCAGGTGAATTCCACAAATTCCGCCTGAAATTCCCAAATTCCAGCTGGATTCCAGAAATTCCAGGTGAATTCCACAAATTCCCACCTGAATTCCACCTGAAAGCCCCAAATTTCCACCTGAAATTCCTCAAATCCTCTAAAAATCCCCCAAATTCACCCTAAAAATCCCAAATTTTCCCCAAATTTGCCCTAAAAATGCCAAATTCACCTTAAAAATCCCAAATTTTCCTGAAATCCCCCAAATTCACCCTGAAAATTGCAAATTTTCCCTAAATTTCCCCCAAATTTCCCCTGAAAATCCCAAGTTTTCCCCAAAGTTTTCCCAAATTTTCCCTAAAATCCTGAATTTTCCCTAAAAATCCCAGATTTTCACAAATTTCCCCCAAATTTCCCCTGAAAATCCCAAGTTTTCCCCAAAGTTTTCCCAAATTTTCCCTAAAATCCTGAATTTTCCCTAAAAATCCCAGATTTTCACAAATTTCCCCCAAATTTCCCCTGAAAATCCCAAATTTTTCCCTAAACTCACCTTAAAAACTCCAAATTTTCCAGAAATTACCCCCGAATTCACCCTAAAAATCCCAAATTTTCCCCAAAAATTTCCCCCGATTTTCCCTAAAATTCCCAAATTTTCCCTAAAATTCCCAAATTTATCCCAAATTCCCGGAATTCCGCACCGAGCCAGGTGTTCATCTTGGCGGAGCTGCAGTGCTCGAGCTGGGGCAGGATGGACACGTCCATGTCTGACTTGGGCTCCTCCTTGGTGAATTCCTGGGAAAAAAAAACCACCCGGAATCGAGGCTTGGGAAGGGGTTTGGGGGATTTTTGGGGAATTTTTGGGGAATTTTTTGGGATTTTTTGGGGTAGTTTTGGGAATTTTTAGGGATTTTTTGGGAATTTTTAGGAATTTTTTGGGAATTTTTAGGGATTTTTTGGGAATTTTTAGGGATTTTTGGGGTGGTTTTGGGAATTTTGAGGGATTTTTTGGGAATTTTTAGGAATTTTTGGGGTGGTTTTGGGAATTTTTAGGGATTTTAGGGGATTTGGGGGGGATTTGTGAATTTTTAGGGATTTTTTTGGGGTGGTTTTGGGAATTTTTAGGGATTTTTTGGGAATTTTTGGGGTGGTTTTGGGAATTTTTAGGGATTTTGGGGGATTTTTGGGGGAGATATGAATTTTTTGGAATTTTTGGGAATTTT